ATTATCAGTTAATTTCTCTTAATATTCTTCAAATCTTATATTGAAATTGAAAGAATTCTTATCATCTCATTGATATAATGAGTTGAATCACTGTATTACTGTGAAGCTGTAGTTGTGATGATCTTTGCTTTGATTCAGTAGAAAGTTCTTAAATTCTTCTCAAGTCATGACAGTATTGATACACTCAAGCTTTCTCTTCTTGATAGCTCAAGTAGTTGCAGAGATGTCTTCAAGGAGGTTGACAGTGTATATTACTTATATCTCATGAGTATTATACTGACTCAGGTTAAGGTGGAATTTTCATTCAAGAGTATAGATAAAGCTGTGAAATTCAGATAATATATTTCTCTTATATCTCAGAGAATCTCTGACCTTAATCTCTCTATCTTCATGATAGATATAGATGTGTAGAGGCCGCGGTGATGACAGAACAGTTGAAGAACTCATATCAAAGTATGCAGCAGGTTCAGAAATCTCGGATTTCTGCTGAGATAGAGATGTACATACTCTAGAAGATGATGTGATGTTTCTCTCAGAGAGTGAGATTAAGTTAGTCTCAGTGTGAGTGCATGAGATCATATCAGTCTGTTAGAGCTTAACTGATTCAAACTTGTAATCAGATTAAGTGATTCAAATTGTAATATAATAGAACTGAAGTGATGACTAGTCAGTGATATTATATAAAGATAGTTGTTTGAGAAGCTGTATGAGTGAGTTTGACTATCTTACTTAAATAGTAAGCTTGTAGACTACAAAGTTATTGTAAGAATATCACAGATATAATACTTAGTATACTAAGAAGATTGTATAAGACATGCAGTAACTCTTGTATATATTTCAGTAGAAGAAAAACAAATCACTGACTTCTTTGATAAGAAGTCAGTATCTAGCTATTCTATATAGACAATGAGTGGATACTCTTCTCTCATTTCATAAGTGAGAATAGTCAGAGTGATACCTCAGTAGTATCTCACTGTTAAGAAAGAGTAATCTGCTGACCTTGTATAGAAGTGAGATTCTCATATTTATCAATTGAATCTTTCTATGATATATCTGAATGATGTCATAGTGTAAGAGGCCTACGCTGAATAGATTAGTATAATATTGATAGGTCTTATATAACAAAGATAGAAACATTAAAGAAGGAAAGAAAGAGAAAGTGCGAGAATCAGTGATTGAGATGGATATTTATACATGTATGTGATGATGTACACGGTGGAGCTTCGGGGTGGAAGAATATACACGCGTTTATAGCAGCTGAGAATCAGTGATCAGAAATGGCTGAGAATCAGAGCATACACTACACACGTTCATAGCAGCTGCAGATCAGCAATCAGGAATGAAAGAATCTATGAAGTGTAATGAAATAGTCTATATGATTGATCAGGCGCAGCTCATCATATTAGCCCTCTCTTTTCAGAAGCAGTTCTCATCAGTCAAGAACTGCTGTTTTGAATAACATAGAACTCAGAGTTCAGGTCAGTTGATTGTAGCTAACTCATTTCACAAGATATTATCAACTGCAGTTATGAGATCTCTTATCAAGAATATCTTCAATCTCTCACTTAAGCTCATTATCTTCTTCTATGATGCCTGACAGCTGTCAGTCAGAAGTCAGCTGAGAAGAGAATAGATTAATAACAGTGTGACAGATAGACTGACCGGCGGGACCATAAATTTCACATTTGGTCCCATTTGGTCTGGTCTCATACATTTCTTAGCGTGAGTCCCACCAGGACTAAGCCTCAAAAAAATCTGAAAATGGACCATTTCTGAGAGAAATGATGTGAAAAATGACCAGATTTAATTCAAGAACAGTGAAATGAGAGTAATTTCTCAGAATAAACTGTGAAAGATGATCATTCTTTCAAAATCAGAATGAGACTGAGACTGAAGATCAAAATCAGTCTCATTCAGTTCATTCAGTGATTGCTTATATAATCAGAATTTGGTAATGATTATTGATAACACTCATGAAACAACTAAATACATTCTTGTGTAAGTTTATTCTTCACTTTCTCATGAAAACTACACTTCTCTGATATACTGTGATCAGAGGTATTAAACTGTCTGATAATTCTATGTTTTACAATCATGAGTTTCTTGATTGTTTCTTCTTATAATTGTTCTCAGTAATAGTGACAAATATCTTGACTTGAGTTGAACTTTCACTTCATTCCCACCCCTGTCAATGAAATTGTCAGAATATCACATGTCATCAGTGCAACAGTTGAATATGTACTCTCAACAATTTTTCATAACTCTAGAATTGATTTGATGCATAAATTCATTGAATCATCTTGAAGATAGCAGTCAAATTCAGTTTTACAAGCATGTAGTTTTGCCTGATTTTCAGTTGTAATTAATGTATATAAGTTCTGTTTCAAAGTTAGTATTATAGTTCTATATGATATGAAGTGTTATCAAAGATTGTTACTTACTAGAGAATTGTATTTCACTATCTTCACATCTTGAACATCTGCTCATTCAAATCTCTGATAGTTGGCATTGTAGTAGTCTCAGACTAATTTGACATATGAGTCTCATTTCTTCTCTGTTCAATCTTGAGAAGTGTAGATATTAACTTGACAGAAAAGATCTAGTAGAGCTGCTACAGTATAGTACTCTGTAAAAGATTGTTCAGTTTTACTGTAGTAATATACCAGTTTATTCCTTGCAGCAATAATAGCCTGCACTATAGTATTATCCCAGACTGAATTTCTTTTTAAGTGATTCAACTGCTTCTCAAGATGAGTAAATAAACTGTTATACATTCACCAGGCTGACTGCAGCATTGATGTATGAGTGATTGAGACTGTCTTTGTTGTCTTATAAAACTGAAACAGTAAACTAATCACATATTTCAACTGAGTTCACTTCATATCAGAAAGTTTCAATATCTGGATCTTTTTCTGATCAGAGTGTTGCACTCAATGATCAATCATCTGACACAATCAAAGAGCTCAAACAGTCATCTCATATGTTGAACTCCATCATATTCTAACATTCTGTATCATATTCAGTGATGTGACTGATTTGTTTATTTATTGAATATTATGAAATCATTGTTATTATTTAGAGGAGATACAAATCACATTAGCAATGTTTTGAATCTGTGATATTTAAATTATTAGTCAATCTATTCAAAATTAACAGTAGTGTTATTAAAAAGCATTATCAAAAAGTAATATCAAAAAGTGTTGTCAAAAAACATTATCTTTTACAAAGTGAATGTAAAAGTTACTTGAGTAATCACTTTCATCTCATTCTCATCTCAAGAATCAGTCATCTCATTATTCTTCATCTCAATATTAAGATTCTTTATCAGTGTTTGCATTACAAGTTAAACCACATGAGCAATGCAGAGAATATGATCTTGTTTATCATTTCAGGAATGCAAAGTCAATTTTTGCTTCAAGCTCTTTATCATAGTGTAGTTATTCACAGCATTATCAGTTATAATTGTAAGAAGACTGAGACTAATATCTCAATAGTCATTTTTAATCACAGTTATTAATATCTCTGTTATATAATCCCCAGTATGACTACTGATCAATGATTCAAATTCAATTAATGTCTCTTAATAAGTTCAGTTCTCATCAATGTAATAACATGTAACTCTTATAAATACAAGATTGTTTGTACTAGTTCATGCATTCACTGTGAGAGACACTCTTCAATGATTCTTCAACTCTGATTCTAGATGTTGTATATTGACTTTGTAGTGTGTCTCAAGGTTGGACTGAAGACAGAATTGATGTGAAATATGAAGATTTAAATTAAGTATTTGAAGAAGTGTTCAGAATTCGGGGTTTTCAATTGATTGAAGAGAAAGATTCAGAGATATACACATGTGAAGTAATTATTCACAGAAGTTATCAGATGAGAGTTATGAAATCAGAGTACTGATATGTGATTGTTTTTACATGATTTTCTTCAAATTAGAAAGTTAGTATTATCAAAAATCATTATCTGATAGAGCAACTTATCAGCTCAGTAGTAATTTTCTGATTATTTTTCTTTTATTGTCTGCATTCTGATGACTTCAGATATCAGGAAATTTCTTCAGAGTCATGATCAGTTCATAATAGATGTTTCTGAATGAAGTTGCAGTGATTGTAGCAGAGAGATGACTCTTCAGTAATCTGCAATACAACCTGTTGATAATTATTTCATAGTTTATCTCAGTGTTTGTGTTGAGTTTTTCATAAATTTTATGACCTGGAATTAGATGTGAAGAATGAAGTAATCATTCATCATAATTAAAAGAGAGCATTCTGTGTTGAATTGTAAATAATATAGACTTTGTAATTCATAGTGATTTCTTGAAGAGTTTGTGAATCTTCAATAGAAGTAAAAGAAGTGAAAGAAGTGAATTCAGAAGATATGATAATAATTTGAGAAAGATGATAATTTATTTTCAATAACTGATCACTGATGTGTGTAAGAAGAATTAATATAAGAGAAAATAATCTTATTTCTTAGCTTAGTTATAATTTTAGTACTAACTCAGATTAGATATCATCAATATATAAAAGTAAATAAATAATCTTGATTAATCTCTATCATATTTCTTAAAATATATTAATATTATAAAAGAGAGTGTTACTAAATTGCATTATCAGATGATATCATTAAAAATATATTAATATTATGAATATCAATGTTGAAAAAATGTTGATACTTATATATTATAGTGATTTGTGAATCATGATAGTTAAATATATATATATATATATATATTATTCCTGACTTGATTACAACTTGTACAATAATTTTTAAAAACTCAAAATTAATTTCAATTATTAATAATTATGAACTTATAACTAACTAATATAAAAAGAAAAAAACTTTTTCTACTCATTATCTTTCTGCTCTTTCTCATTCTTCTTATTATTCTTTATAATTCACTTCTCATTCTTCTTCTCCTTCTTCTTCTCCTCATCTGAGATGATAATCATCTTAAAATCTCTCTTCACTGCCTTCTCAGAGGAGGGTTCTCACTGCTCCTTCTCAGCCAGGTCAACCTGTGTCTCAAAATCCTGCATTTCCTGGTCTGCTGTCTCAGGTTCCATCTCAGTAGTAAGCAGATTGACATGCTCAGAGAGCAGAGCTGCCTTCTTAATATTCTGAATCATGAAGTGTATTTGAGATCTGAACAAGGCCTTAATTCCCTCCTTCTCTGTCAGCTCCTGCTAATCAATTAGAGAACAGAAGTATTATCAAAAATCATTATCTCTCAATAAATAAAAAACTTATCAGTTTTAACTTCTTTATCTTCTACTTTAATATCTTCTCAATCTTCTTCTGCTGCTGCTTATTTATAGTAACACTCTTCTCATCTCTCTCTCTCTTTATCTTGGTCTCAAATTATTCTCAGAACTTCTTCTGATCTCATCACTGCTGCATGAGACTCTTCACTGTCTTCTTCTTCAATCTCTCACAGATGACATCATCTGCATTATTTCTATACTTAGTTCAGTCTAAATCTATCAGAAGCATTACTTAAAATTGTTATCATTCTACTTTCTTACAGAGCCTCTTCAAGGCATCATAACATGTCTTGTGATCTGTCTCTTCTTACTTAAACACCTTCTTCTTCTCTTTCTTCAATCTGTGACAGCACTCACATGCCTTGATGATCCGCAGGACTGCAGAATATTTGAAGAGAAATGACATGATTGATTTCAGTGAGTATTGAAGAGAGATAAAGGCAGAAGAGATGATTAGAAATAATATGATAATAATAATGATGATGATGATGATAATGATAATAATGATGATGATAGTGATGATGATGATGATGATGATGATAATGATAATAATGATGAAAGAGAGAGTGCATTGAAATATATTACTAACTTATCAAATATAAAGAGACTTAAAGAAAATATTAACAGCTTTCAGCAATGTACAGAAACAGCTACAGTGTTGTATAGCAATATTATCTTCATTCAATGCATGCACTGTTGATATTCTTTATATACAGTTATCATATAATCTGTATCAGAGATACATGCAGAAAACAGATCTTTGTTACTAGAATAAATGATTACAGCAATTCTCTGTTTTCATATTATAAAGATAAGTTATTCTCATTTCTTTCTTCTCTCTTTTCTCTTCTTCAATCAATCACTAATTTCAAGCTGATATGAAAACTATTAAAACACTCTCAGAAACTCTCAAATTGAAGAGTATAGACTAATTAAATTTTAAATGTAGAAGAAATCAAATTATCTTCTACAGATTCAATTACTCATTCTCTCTCAAATAAAACAGCAGTCATGTCCCCTCTCTCCCTCAATTAAATGAAACATGGCCTGCGAAAAGTGAGTACCACACCAGGTCATAATGACCAACACAGCCCCAGCATGCAGGGCTGTATATACACAGTGCATGCTGGACTGAGAGACTGTGTGAGTTGCAAACCAGTGACAGCATTCCAGGGAGAGCTGTGCAGCGTGGAAAAGCCACAACTCTTGGTCATGTGCACAGAGAATGAATTGCTGCAGTAAGTGCATGTGCATTGAAGTAATGCTTTTTGATAATACTTAGTCTCTGATATGATGAAAATAGAGTCTCTCTGTGAGATCTGTTTTTATCAGAAGTCAGAGAATCTTATATTCTTCAAGATCATCTTCACATGCCTTGTCTGTGAAATTGATGAGAGAAATCATCAATTCCAGTGTTCTGTTCTTGATGTCATTCAAGTGGTAGCAGAGTTCACTCTGATCACACTTTTTAAGTGTATATTTTCTAATTATTCACATTTATATAGATATATACTGATTATTTGTTAGATGATGTTAAGACAATGACTCATCATTACTGTGTTACTCTCACTGTGAGAAATACACAGTTGATAATGAACATTGCAAAGACTCTGAGAAGTGAGTATTTTAGAAGTACTGTGGCTCTGTGATCTTGATTTTTTTTTATTTTTGTTTTTTGTTTTTTTCTTTTCCTTTTCTTTTTTTTTTTTATTGTGATTTTTTCTTATTGTTTTGTTTTTTATTTTTTTGTTATTTTTTGTATTTTATATTTTTTTTTTAATTAAAATGATATCAATTATGATCTGTGTTCAGAAAAGTAATGATATTTGATAATACTCTCTGTTGAATTTTCAACAAATGAGCACTATGTTATGATATTATGTAAGTAAGAAATGATTTCATGGTCTCATTTAATACCATTTTCAATAATGAGATCAGAATGAAAATGTGACTAAGAATTCAAACATATTCTTTATCTGGGACTAGATTTTTATTTGAAAAGTGAATCTGGGACCTTTAATATCTGAAATAACGTGATTTGGGATCAATGTAATGAACACAAATCATGACCAGGAGTAATGCTTTTAGGCAACATGACAACTGTAAAGTTTGATCCTGGTCTCAGACACGGTCACACAGTCAGTCTAGTGACAGAGTAAGCTTGTATGAAATACATCATGAATCTCTGATAATGTGTTAAGATAATAGTTATAACTATCTAGAACTTCTATCACTTTATATCTGATGTGATGATAATCTAGTGTACAAGATAAATATGTAATTTATATATTCTTAAGATTCAATTATACTAGATCTTCTATCTTATATTGTTCAGCAGAGTCTCAGTGATTATTGATTTGATTCTCTTAATCTTGTTTCACAGTTATCATAGAGATCTCTGCTTAATTACAGATATCTCAGAGCTTCATTACTATATTATCAGTGATCTGAATCAGACTGTGAGAGTCTGATATGAACTGTGTAATCTCTAGAAGATTTAACACTTTTATGTAATATCTGTGTATAAGAAAGAACAGACTTATATCTATTAAAATGACATCTTGACTGTTGATAGTGACCTCTGCATGTAGAAGAAGATCATATCAATTATCTTATAAGTAATTGCAGAAATTACAGAAATAATTCTTCATAATCTGAATTATTCATTCTAATGCATCATCAGTCTCAGAGTGATAGACAGTTAATAGACAGTGTATAATCTTGAGAACTTGACAGATTCTTGTTCAGAGAGTACTCATGAATTGACAGCTCTGATCTGATACTATAGATCTCAGTAATTCATATATCTGATAGAACAGACTCTGTAGAAAAGCTTCAGCAACTTATTCAGTATTCATCTTATTACAAGGTTTCAATATTATATTTTTACTCAATCAATTCATAATAATCAGAATGTTTCTATAACTCTTTCTCTTAGATAAATTGACAGTGAAGTCAATTGCTACATCTTATCAGATTCTATCAGAGATATTAAGTGATTTCAATAGATCTTTTCTACAGTTCTTTCATAAGATAATAAAAGAACAGTGATTACAGTTTTGAATGAAGTGTCTGATACTGTTTAATATCTCAGATCAGTAGAACTCTTAGAAGACTATTCTATACAGTTATTTACAGTCTGAATAATCAGTTATACATGAATTATACATCTCTTACATTATCTGAGTGTGTAAGAGTTCAGAGTGAGAGACTCAGTGTTGTTCACAGAATTATAGAGTGTTATTATCATTGATTGAACATTCTGAGATATCAGTTCTTATATGTAGTTCTGAAGAAAATCAGAGTGCTTCTTGATATACTGCTTCAGTGAGAATCTGAAGAAGTTCATCTATCTGAGCTACTGTATATCACAGTTCATTCAGTGTAGAGAAAGTGAAGATATCAATGATAGTTCTAATTGAAGAAGCATGTATAGTTCTAGTCAGAGAAGCATGTATAGTGTCATAAACTGTTTCATCTTAATCAACTAGTATCTTCAGGTTCAAGAGCTGATACTCTCAGTTCATTCAGTGAGTATCTGTTATATCAGATGATATATCTTGCTCTTGTCATGAGAGAACATCTATCATTGAGTTCTGACTGCTAGAACAGTAGTGTATTATAAAATGAAAGCAGCTTAAGAACTCAGATCATTATATCTGTTATTCAGTGAGTTTATAAGTAGTTATAAAGTATTTGAGATTCTTATGATCTGTGATTATCTCAAATTCAGAGATACTTTGAAATTCAGAGTTTTATTCTTCTAAACAGCATATGATTGTAAGAAGTTTCTTATCATAGATCTTATAATTGCATTCAGTGAGACTCAGTTTCTTAAATATGAAAATATATAATTGTAGAACATCTTCATCATTATATTACAATATCACTTCCTCTATCACATAGTCAGAGAAATTAGCTTCAATAACTATCTTATAATCAGAATCAAATGTTATCAGTAGAGAGATATTAATGAATATCTTCTTCATCTGTATAAATGCAGCTTTAGCATCTGCTGATTATTGAAATACTGAGTCTTTCTTAGTAAGGTCTGTAAGTAATCTTATAATATCTGAGAAGTTTCATATAAATCACTAATAGAAGTTAGTAAATTCAATGAAGCTTTATACATCTTTCACAGTATATGAAGCTTCTCATTTGAGAATGACAGAGATCTTCTCAGAATTTATTTGAATTCTCTTATCAGCTTCTATAATGAAATCTAAGTATTTAGTACTCTTAACTTTGAAATCACACTTATCAATATTAATTAATAGTTCTGCTTCTCATAGTCATTGTAATACTCTTTATACATACTCTTGATATTCTTTTCTGAATTCATCAGTGAAGATTAGAATGTTATCTAGATAAGCAGATATAAACTCATCTAGAAAATCTCAGAGTGCTCAGTTAATATACTTCTGAAATGTACTGAGAGTATTAGTCAGCTCAAAGAGTGTGACTATTCATTCAAAGAGATTATAATATGTTCAGAATGCTGTAAGTCATTCATCTTCTTCAGTGATACAAATCTTATGAAACACAGTAATAATATGTTGCTTTATAAATTATTGAGCTTATCTAATTCATGCTAGGATTTCATTGATAAGAGATAAGAAATATCAATCTTTCTTTATCAATCTGTTCAGATCTCAGTAGTTCACACAGAATTGAAGTTCTTCATCTGGCTTCTTTGCAAAGAGAATAGAAGCTGCAGTGAAAAAGTTACTAATATATATAAATCTCTTATCTAACAGATCATTGAGTGTCTTTCAGAGAAGAAGAAGTTCATCTTGAGACATATTATAAAGAGAGTCTCATGATAATTCAGAGTTCTTACTGTTCTTCTTTTTCAACTTAATACTGTGATTCACTTCTGAATCTTGTAAGAGAGATAGATTTATAGTATTATTATCTTATCAGAAGATATCTAGATATTCATGATATTATTGAGAAAGTTTTATACAAGAATCTGTTATTATAACACAGAATAACTTTTCTAGAACCTTTTTAATATCAGTCAGCCTGACAGAATAGATTAATATATAATTCTGCTATTAATGATTCTTTCAGTGACTTCTTTTTCTGAGCATTTCATAGATGTTGACAGAGATCTGTATCAGATTCATAGTCTTATAAATGTTATTCTCATGAACTCTATTATTGTTAGAGAATATCAAGCTTCTATTTCAAGTGTTCAATAAGATGTCTTGTTCAGATAGTCAGACAAGTTCTAATATAAGATCATAATCAAGATTATCAACTTTATATATATAGATATCTTCATGTTGATGTTCTCTCACATCTATGATCAGCTTTATTATGTAACAGATATAAATATCTTTTGAATCATCAAATTCTGCAAGAAGTCAGAATCTTGATAAGAGAATACACTGAAGATTATAA